AATCTTCAAGATTTCTAATTAAAGTATTAAAGGTACAATTTGTATGCAATCTCATTATGCTACAATTATTTCTACTATTTTCCAGGGATGATTGATATTTTTACCATTAGAAGGATTAGAAAAGTATTGAATGCTTTATTTTATTTGTTAAAATTTTAAAAACTTTAGATCGTTTTGTCACGAAGAAAACAGAAGAATAGAAGAAAGAGGGTTCTTATGGTCAAGTTTCTTTGAGAAAAGATTAAGAAAAGAGAATGGGATGATATTGGAAACATTTATCAGCCTCAACTGTCAGAGTTCTTTCCATGCTCTTGAATCATTGACTTATCTCAAGATAAGCTTCTGACATTTTACTAAATAGAAGTGCACCAAAGATAGGCAACAACTGGAAATAATTCAATGTTACATTTTAAAATGTATTTTTGTACAATCTTGTGCATTTTTCATGTACCAATGAATACCTAAGAATATTTAACAATATATTTAAATCTGCCTTCCATTTTATGATTAATGATTAGTTATATTATAGTAATTATTCATGGGAAGCAACTAAATTAGCTAAATAAATATCTCCTTATTCTTTAAGAAAAGTTTGTTAAAAATGTCATCAGAACGTGAATATCTATTAATAAATTATATATTACTACAAAGTTAAATTATAAACCTGAAGGAATGTGGCATTTGGTCTAATGGTTTGGGGAAATGTCTCCTTCTGTTCATATATGCACATTTATTCCAGTAATAATTCAATTCAATATAGAGAAAATAAAAAGTATTTTTAAATATTATCCTCCTCCATCCCATAAATATCGCTACCAATAGAGTGCAGTGTCAATGCACATATTTCTTGAACAAGGGTCTAATTGTTTGACACATATTGGCAAAACACTTTCTTTATGTCAAACATTACTCTGAATGCTAAAAACTCTCCGATTTTTTGATGCTGACACATTTGGGTAGGCCAAGTAATAAGCTAAAAGAAGAAAAAAATAAACAGGTTAGATGATAATAAGTTCACTATATAAATAAAACAGAAAAGGGTCATAGAAAATGTTGGCAGGCTTTACAGTATTAAATAATCGGGAAAAGCCCTCAGGAAAATTTGGTAGTTAAACCCTAAAAAAAGGCATTGATGAGCTTTGAGAGGTAATGATATTATCTCACAGGATTTAACAGACTGGTTCTGCTTGCAATGTAGGGAATATTTTGAAAGTGTTAAAGACAACAGTAGGAGAATGATTTAAGAGTTCTGGCAGAAGAGGTGGTGAAAATTTGTCAGAGACTGGATATGTTTTGAAGGTATTGCCAAGAAGATGGATTGCAAGTGAGATGTGATGTTTAGAAATAAGTCATGATTCCTTCAAGTGTTTGGCCTGAGAATAATGTAGTTGCCACTTATTGGCTTAAGGAACTCTGGGAAGATGTTTGGGAAAAGACCAAGTGGTCAATTTTAGACATGTTCAGTTTGAGAAACTTAATAACATGGATAGATAGATAGGCAGAAATAGGAAACTACATTTCAAGGAGAAAGAATAGATTACAATTTATGTGAATGAATCATCAATAGGAAGATGATACTTAAAACTTTGGGACTCAGTAAAGTAGATTATTGTAGATTGGGAAAATCTGTGATGGCTCAGTTGTTGACTGCCTATATCTTATAAGTCGGATGAAGAATCACAAAAAGGGAAAGGGAAGAGACAATGAAGTTGAACATTTTATATATACATATATGCATATACCAGGGATGCCAAAAGAGATGTTCACCATAATCAGAAATGTTTGGACACTGGTGGTAACCACTTTGAGCTCCACTTGTAATTGCAGAAATCAAATGTGACTTGTATTTATCTTTTGTTTATATATTGAGTATTACAATTTTAATGGGCTTTTTTCTTTTTTAAAATGTGTGTACATTTTTTGGCACTGTGTGTGTGTGTGTGTGTGTGTGTGTGTGTGTGTGTGTATTTCTGAAACTGAAATAACAATAGTGATTTATAGAGGAAGATGTGATCAAGGATGGAAAATGTTGCTGATACCGAGTAAGATAAAGTGTGATAATAAACCTTTGGACTGAGCAAAGTATTTGCAATGCCTCACCATGACCTCAGCAATTTCAAATTCTGAGAGGTGAGGAGAGAAAATGTCCAAATGAAGTGGGTTTAGGATACAGTGAGAAGAGAGAACTGAGGCCAGACAATAAGAATACTAGAGGAAAGTAATGAGATACATGGACAAAAAAATGGAGAAGACAGTGGAGGAAAGAGGAGGTTTTTGTTTGTCTGAGATGTGTGTGTCTGTATAGAATGATTAAGTAAAAGAACATAATTAATATATTTTCTTTAATTCTGAGACTTTCCTCAATCTTTTTGTTTTAGGCATATTCCAAGTCCATACATGTCCATTTTAAAGTTTGAGTTATAGATATAAAACAAAATTTCTCTTAGAGTATATATTATTAAAATACATACATCCCACTCAAAATATTTGAAAATATTATTATCTAATCCAAGCATTATACTGAATCATGTAAGTGGATATTTAAATGTAAGGCAATTACATTTAAATTCTGAGTCTGTTATCAGAAGGCTTATATTTATTTTTTTCTTGGATTTTTATGTATACTCATTTAACACTTCACATGAATATTACAAGTGAAAAATACAATTGTCTTTCTTATGGTCTGGGCACTATTTCTAAGTGTGTTAAATATACTATTCCTACTCCTTATTTTAAATTAAAAAAATAAACTTTAGTAACTATTTTATAAGACTTAATTAACCTATATTGTAAATACGGATCTTGGGATCAGTAAATTTCCTGATCCTTGCTATGTATGAATGACGTAGCATTCAGTCCAGATATGCTTAGTTCTAAAGTACACAATATTTAACTTCTACTACTTTATATAATAGTAAGTACTGAAAGACTAAATTATAAGGAACACTTCTTTTGTACACTGGGTAGAGCCAAATACAATGACAGACACTTAACATGACCTTACTATATAGCAGTTAATTTTTCTAAGAAAAATAATATCATGAACAACAAATAAAATAAGTTTTTCTCAAGTTTGCAGATTTGAACTGTTTGGAATTATGAATCAAAAAAGGTAATTAATCTAGAAATTATTTTTTTTTCCTCTTGTGTCCCATCTCTATTATAAAACAGTTTATCAAATTATATAACTAAAACAAGATCTAGTTCTACTTAGAAGTTCGAGATTTGGATGCAGTAATTGTACATTGACAGGGGGTTGGTTGTCTTAAAAAAGATGAGGAATCCAAATTTAATCTCCTATCTAGCCTGCTAAGTTTCCATAAAAGTTTGTCACTTGAGATGCAAATACCAAGACTATCACAGTTCAAGAGTGAGATTCCTAAGCAAAGTTCTTATCTCTAAAGAATGAAGGCCTTCAGAATGCTTATTTTATTTGCAATTTAACTAACACCTACAAATGTGAAAATTCCTGTCTTTCCTTCAAATAAAGTTTCAACAGCAGAAAATTTAAGTGTATGAGAGAAGTAATTAAAAACTCATTAGTTTCTCATTACTTTAAGGTAGTTTGCCTTGTCAAGGTTTAGACAGATGTCAGAAAGGACACAGTAAGCAGTGTCATCTTAGAATCTTTGGCTCTGGAAATTCTTGATTTATTTACTTTTCATTTCACTCATTGCATTAGTTCTCCAGATTTAACTGTGTTCTCTTTGTAAGCTTATCATTTTTCATAGAGCAATAAAGCAAATATTTATAAGCACTACATGATTAATTTATTGTTAAAAATTTTCATATTCCTGGATGATTTTTCAAAAATCCAAAAACTTTACCTAGATACTAAAGTAGAAGTAAATTTTACCATTTATGAAATTTATATATCAAAATTGTATTTTACATAATACATGGCCCCGGTACCACTATAAGAAAAAACAACCTATGACTTAAAGTTGCATAGAAATAGTGTTGGAGCTCTTATGTGTCATTTATGATCTATATGAATTTGTATGAGTTCTTGATCTTTTTTTATCTATAAATAAAAGTTAATATAACTCAGCTTCTAAACTGGCCATAGTGTTATAATTACTAAATAAGAAAGTATAAACTATTTACTTAGCAATTAAAAGCAGCAAACTATTTTCTTTTCCTCTTCTCTAGAAATGCAACATGGTTAACTAGAATAAGTGATTATATTTTATTTTTAGAACAACAAAAATATACTTATGTAACTTTTTAATAAAACAAAATAGAGAATTATTGTGTATAAATATGTCTTTCTAAAAAAAAGCTAATAGTATCTTTTCACACTTTTTAATATCTGGAAACATTTGGAATATTACATATTCACATATGTATCTAAAATGTACACGTTTATGTTTTTGTTTTGTAACCTGAGAATATATTTTATTATTCCCTAGTGAAACACCTCTGAATATGGGTATTGATGGGTAGTGCATTAAACAAGATTATTTTCAGTAACTTGAATACTGTGGTTTTGAAGCAAGCAAACTTTCATTTAAAAAGTGAGATGGTCATTTTTAAAATAAATAGTTAAGTAAATTCAAAATAATTTTAAATGATCAGAATTTATCATCATGTGACATTACTATTGGCAACTTCTGTGGCTTTTGCTTACTATTTTCTACAAGCACCACTGAAACTCTATAGGAGTTTGATGCAATGATGTGCATAAAAAAAAAGCTTAGAGACATTTTCATGTAGGCTAAGGTACAGAGCGCTGGAAATTATACCTCTGGACAATGGTCAACGATGGCAGGAAAATCAGAACCTAATTATTAGGTACCATTTAATTAATTTAAACTGAGTAAGAAATGGAGTGAACATCTCCTGAAGCAATGTGTAAAGCATCTGTGTATTCATCATAAAATTAAGGCTAAAAGATAGGGATTTGTTTTAGTACAGTCTAGTCAACATTTACAGGTGATCAATAATCCTTGAGACAAAGAAGAGATATTTAATGAAATAAACAAATACACAAAACTCACCTTATCCACAATGCATATCTGTTTTCTTGTTTGAGCATCAAGTATTTCAATCTCAAAGTGCGTAGTTTTTGAATGTTTGACTGCTAGGGTTGGTTTAAAAGGGCCTGCTGAGAGTATGAATTGCGACAAAGAGTGAAAATTTCTCATCTCATTCTTCAATATGGACCGTGTGGCTCCTTGGGAAAAGAATTCTCTCCTGCGTTCCGAAGCAAGAGACTTCTGCCTTTTGAACATTGTGTTAACTAACAGGAGAATCTGTCATGTCAACTGTAGGCACTTACAAGCGTGTTCCCTTTGCACCAGTTAAATACTGCTGAAGAGCCCCTGAAAGGTCAAATGGTATGCCATTCCAAGAGTTCAGTTTTATTTAGCAAGCTTGAAAACAATGACTGATCTTATTTCTATATATAACACGCTATTGTGATTTGCTGCATGTAGCATATTACTTTTCCAGCATTTGAATTATTTCTTGCTTCTCCTTTTATCTCTGCTTCTTAATATGACTACTCTTATCTAAAATTCCAAAGCAAGAATAGACAGAGCATTTTTATTATCTCTGAATTCTGGATGCACTAATCTTCAGAAACACACATATTCACATTTAGAGGTATGTAACATTAACATAGTGCTGCTTATAGTTAATATTCTTTAATAATCCTGATGCATTATTATATAACATTTAAAAATAATGTTTAAGATACAGATTGGTGGATATGTATGAATGTATGTATACATGTTATATGTGTATTTAAAGCATTCTAAAATAAGACATTTATTTTTATCTGTACTAATTATAAACCTCAGGGAGATTAATATAACTATTACACAACAAAAAATGGTTAATTCTTCGCTCCATATGGGGAATGAAAATATGGCCAACTATAAGATTAGAATTTTTAAAATGTAATTTTATAACATAACAAAGACTTAAATCTTATTTTAACATTTCCACACATTATATTTCTTTGGAAAATTATTGAATTCATATACAAAATCACATTTGCCAAGCACTAAGTTATGGAAAATTCAGATAGTCTCAGAATAAATAATGGAATGTAGTAAATAAAAGGAATATTAGGAAACGTTCCACATATTCAGTTATATATAAATTTGGTGAGGAAGCAACGGAAAAAAAATCCAAAATATAATGTCACTGATTGAAAATTCTATTAAAGCTAAATATTCTGGAGTATTATTTTCAGTGAAACATAAAAAGATAAAAGACAAAAATTATAAAGGGAAAACTCTGTTATCTACATAACACTAACCTTTACTTTTATAAATAAACAAAATGATATAGTGTTCATTTATAATTTTAATTACACTTTATTCACTGGATACTTACATCACATTGTTCAGTTATTATTTTCATACTGTAGACCGCAATTACTTTCAATATTTAATGTTTTTGAAAACATAAAAAAGACACGTTTGTGTATTTATAGTGTTTGTGTGTATGAATTTACACACTTAAGTGTCACATGTTGTGCAACTTTATCACCCATTTAAGACTCTAAATTTGGAATCATCTTTAACTTCTCCTTTCACTCACACCTTGCATCTAATTCACCATCCCCCACAGCTATTATGGAATCATCAATCTCACCTGTATTCCTTTTTCAAACTGATCTTCCTGCTTCAACATTCACCGATCGATAGTCTATTTCTAACATAGCGGCTTGAATGAGTTGGCTCTATATTAAGGCAAGTAACTTAATAATCTGCTCAACACACTGCAGGAGCTTTCTATTTTATGTAAAGACAAAAACCAAAGTCCCTGCAAAGATCTGCAAGGAATTGCATTATCAACACTCTGCTACTTCTTGGATCGCGTTACCTAAGCTATCTATATACAATTCTTAGAACAGTGTCTGACATACAGTGGATACTCAATAACCATATATTAAATACATAAATGAATGACCAAGATATGTCTACATATCTTGAATATATAGACAGAATGATGCGATGTTAAATTACTGAATTTTATTGAAATGACCTAACTACAACCCATATAATGTTTCTTCAGAGATGATTCATATTTTATAAAAGAAATGGTCAAAAGAATGCTCATGCCCATCTGAAAGTGCTCCATAACTAAAACTGGAATAACTCAAGAAACAAAATAAGTACTAATAATAGTGAGTTGTAATTCAAAGAAGGTAAATTCTCCTGTGTCCATACCATTATATATAAATGATTACATAATTAATTAATCAATAAGAATAAGAAACAAGTTTTCTTTATGCAAGACTTACCAATTAATTATGAAAATACTCTCTCCTAGATTTGGGGTTTTACTTAGTGACACACTTACAAAAAAATAATGAATAGAAAGCAAAAAACAGGAACTTCAGAGAGGAGAAATCCAGCAGACAGAGAGCATCTTAACTATGTGACCAAGTGTACTGTAACATAAAAAGTCATGTAGATATTATGTACCTACTATATCATGAAATGAAGATACTTCACCTCCAATGTTCATTACTTCAGTGTAACCATGAGAACTCATCAAAGACAAATGAAAAAACACTCCACAAAATACTGACCAATAGTCTTTGAAAATGCCAAGGTGCTAAAAATCATGACAAATGGAGAGACTGTGACAGATTGTAAAAGTATATATGAAGACATGACTGGAGTATTTTCAAGAACTGCTTATGCTTAACTTTACAAGAAACCTCCAGACTCTCCCAGAGTGGTTATATTTTACTTTCCTATCAGCAAGGATGAGAGTTGCTATCACTTCATGTTCTCACCAACTTTCAGTGCTGTCAGTGTTTTCGAGCTGAGCCATTCTAATAAATGAATTGTGGTACCCATTGTTTCAATAGCCTCTTCTTTAATAGTATATGATGTTGCAAATATTTTAATATCATTACTTGCAATCTTTAAGTGAGATGTTTGTCGATTAAAAAAAGTTGTTTTCTTATTTGAGGGTTTTAAATGTTCTTTGCATGTTTTGGATAAAACTCCTTTGCCAGATATGTGTTATAGAAGCATATTCTTTCAATTCATGACATTTTGCATATTATTAACAGTATCTTTTGTAAAGCAATAGTTTTTAATTTTAATAAAGTTCAACTTATCAATTTATTATTTCATGAATTATGCTTTTGACATTGTATCTAAAAAGTAAGTTCCAAAGTTAAGACCACATAGATATTGTCCCATGTTATTTTCTAGAAACTATATAGTTTAGCAATTTACATTTATATCTATGGTCTATTTTGAGGTAATTTTTCTGAAATATGAAGATCTTTCAGTTGCCTGGGTCTATTTGTTGAAAAGAATACCATTTCCCTTTGAATTGCCTACGCTTCTTTGTAAAAGATCAGTTGCTTATATTTGTGTGGATGTATTTCTGGTCTCTCCATGCTGTTGCATGATCTATGTGCTGTTCTTTGGCAAATATCGCATTTGTTACTGCAGTTTTATAATAGGTCTTGATGCCGGGTAGTGTCAATCATCCAGCTATGTTTTTCTTTGTCCATATTGTGTTAGATATTCTGGGTCTTCTGTCTATTAGTTCAGTTTTTTTTTTCTTCAGAGAAGTACATTTATTTTCAAAATTATATGGTGGATTTGTCAAATGATAGTTTCTTGAGTTTGAATTTCTGTATGTACTCTCATCATTAGATAAATGGTTCACAACCTTCTCTTCAGATAGTAGTTCGATTTTTTCAACAATCTAGTCAAGTAATGAAAGTTGTAATCATCCATATGTGCATATGATATTTAAACAATAATTGTCTCACCTCCCAGACCATAAGCTCCATGAGGCAGAGATCAAATCTAATTTTTGTTAACACTATGACTTCAAGTCATACTGCAGTTCCTGGCATGTAGTAAGTATTCAACATTATTTGTTGAATTAATAAATAATTACATGCATGAATATATTTTAATATAAGATATGCAGTATTAATATTAGGTTAGGGTAGCCAGTAAAGTTTGAGAATATGTTTGATAAGGGAAAGGACCTCATGATAAAAACTATCCTTTTAATTTGTGTAAAATGCTACCCAAATAAACCCTGGAAGACACTGAATTTAGGAACGGGTGAGTGAAACAGAAAAAGAAAAGATCTGTAATGACAAGTCACCTGTCCTGAATATTTTTGTGTCAATGCTCATGAGAAAATGTTATATATTAGGTAGAAGGAATTGAAGTTTAAGAAATGAAGGCCTTAGTAGACTATAAAAATACAGTGTATATGAAACTACACTATTCTTTGACATAGACAAATCTATAAGTGAGTAGTAAGCATCTAGAAAATAGCAGTTTAGTGAAAATTGCATGGGTTCAAGGAGTTCTTTTTTCTACTTAAATAGTTATGTAATTTCAAACTTTCCATAATATGACATTTTATAACCTTATAAATTTCATAAGACTTATAAATTTCATAATCCAAAAAGCAACACATATAAAGTAGTCAGAGCATTTTCTTAAAAACAGAAAGCATTCTATATATATATTCAATTTAATTTTCTTGCCCCCAAAGTCAGATCTATGTTTTCCAAATCAGATTTATGTCTTTCTTTACCACATAGCTCTGCTCAAGTTTTCAGATTATTCCAAAATCTCCCTTTCTAAACTTAAATGGTTATAATACTTGTTTACAGGAAATTAAATTTGCTCATAATAATCATACTAATAGGCAAACGGTGTTGCAAGGGCTATAAACCCGAAAGACAATCTTGAAGGCCATAATCCTGAATGTTGAAATCCTGAAAAGTCAAAATCATTAGTCTGAAATCTTAACAATTGCAACCCTGAATGATCAAAATTCTGAATATATAATTCTGAAAAAATTAATATTTAAAAATTCTATAGACTATATAATTGCATTGTAAAGGAATTTACTTGAGAAACATAACACAACAGAACATTTCATAAAACTCTTTACAAAATAAAACAGGGAATAAAAATATACATATTTTTGCAAGCATAAACAGGTATATTGACAACAGTCTCACAGGTATAACAGATATGAGCAGACAAACCATATTCAGAAAGATCAAAAAATAAAATGTATAAATGCATATCACTATGGTCAGTAATTGTGTGTACTCACCTTTGTAACTTTAGTCATCTAACATATTATTATAAACAACCTATGTGTTTTGAAGTGATTGATCAAAAACCTTGGATGGGATACTACTGCATATGCAGTCACCAAAAAAACTAAGAGCTTGAGAAATTTTAACTTTTGCAAACACAGATGTACAAAAAGGGCATCTTTTCACTTACTAAGGAAACGACAACATTTTTATTTATGTGCACAGTGCTTGCACACAGAGCCAACTTTGTGATAATGCACTTTTATGCATTCAAATTTGC